TGTACCTCTTCAATGCCAGAGATATTGTTGACTCCCAGTTTCTTCAGGGAAAACTGCAGCTTCTTATCATCTGCTGTAGCCGTTCTGTGCACCACCTTCTTCTTTCTGCGAGCTGACCCCTAAAGAGCAGAAACGTTAGAGTCGATTTTAACTCACGACTCACCAAAGATTACACCTAGTCTCTAGCATATGAAACCGACTCACCTTGCCGCCTATGCGGACCTGAGCCTGCAGTTTGGCAAGCTTTTCCTGGTTCATTATCGACTCCTTCATCTAGTGTTAGACACAACAGATATATATAATAAAAGGTAGGTTAGTCTGGCTGTAAACAGTTCTTTTTAGTGTTTCCAGAAATTACTGTAGAATCTTTGTATCTTAGAAAAGTTGCCAAGGAAAGCCACCTGGAATTCAGTGCCAAGTGCCTTACTCACGAATGTCAGTCATTTGGGGGAAAAGAAAAGAAAAATCTCCCTTGACACAATTACTCAGAACTAAATTTGGTTAACTACTCATTTTTCATTTAGAGGCTGAGCAAGATGTGGGACTCACGAAAATATAAAACATGCAAGTTTGTATGAAGGATCTCTCTGGATACCCTTATGACTAACACAGAAGCAATTTCTAAAACTATACGCCATCAATCGATGACATAAAACATGAAAACGGTAATAACGAATTGCCAACTTCAAACTTCCCCAACTCCCGACCTGAGCTATGTTGTCTCAAGAAATTAACGAGAATGCACAACTGTCCCGGCCAAAAATAGCTGCACACCGCAAGTCTCGGCTGAAGCCCTTCATGAATCAGAGGTGGTCAGCTGAAGTCAGTGCCCTGAAACGTCATAAACCCGCTTTCCCAATATGTTCTTACGATGCAAACTTCTGCTTTTTGATCAAACTCTGACGGCATGACACTTATTTAGTCTAACAATATTCACAAATTATGTCAAAGGAGCTACCGGCTAGTTAGCAATTCGAGCTAAACAACTAGCCCAGGCCTCTTAAACTGATGTTAGCATTCAGGTACAGCTGATGCCGTCATTGCGTTAAAACCCGTAATACAACTGTGGAGGGGATGTTCAAACGTCAGGAGTCAAACTTTATGAGTCTAAGACATCTAAAAGGGGTAGACGGTAGTGAACTAACCTGAGAGTGTGTAAACACGCGGGTCACACCGTTGATAAGGGACAGGAAAAAGGAGCGAAATCCGGAAGTGACGCGTTTAGATGCCGGATGGCAAAAAAGCTTACAAATATGTCCAGTGATTTAAAAACAGCGTTAATCCCAGTGTTATCGAATAAAAAATAGTTAAAAACTTAGAAAACAGCTACTTTTAATGTAGTTACAAATATGGGATACTACTGACGATGATCAGATTTCATTAGCAGAAAAATACATATATTTACTTAATATCCAAATATTATCATTCTATTAGCTTTATTACCAATCACATATATTAACAAAAATACATATAAATATAAAGGTTTTCACTTTAAGTATTCATTCAGTGAACATTTTACGGTATTCCACAACGGAAGTAGTCACGCATGTAGTCATGGCGTCCTCCTGTTCACGAGAGACAACGTGATTACTCGATAACATGAGAAACTTTTTGTTTACTTAGACAGCCAATATCAGTATCATCCAATTTCAGCATATCATAAGAAAAAACTACGTTTGCATTTCTGGACTTTTTCACTTGAAAGGTGAGAACCGTTAGAGCTCAGTTTAAAGAAAATGCTAGCTAAAGTGCAGTGTGCTAGCTAAGTTGTGCCTTACTGAACACGTTGGGCCACTGTCCGAGTAATTAACTGTGTTTGATTTGAATGTAATAACTTTGTAAAACTTTCAGCTATTCGAAAAAAACTGCATGTCTTCGATTGTTATGTACAACAACGCGTTACAGTGAAGTTAAGTCGTTAGGTCGCCAGTTCCAATCTCGGGAAGGTCTCATATTCGAAGTAAAAGGTGGAGAGCACTCCAATACAGTCCGCGTTGAACAGAAAAAAGGTTTAATTTAAAACTGTTTAAATGTTGTTGAAAAATCACAGTGACACTGTCACATTCTGAATTCTGCTGTACTCCCAAACTGAAGCAAAATCATGTTAATGTTATCTAATCTGTTACAATCGAAATAGAATTTACCGTTTTAGACAAAAATGTACGTTTGGATATTGTTGGTCACAAAAGGAGTTCTTGTTTTTCTACCTGCAGTTTTTAAGAGTAAATATGTATCCCTGTTTTTATCCCTTATTTATCTTCACAGACGTAAAGTGATTAGCACAGAAATGGCTTCATTTAAACCCACAAAAATTCAAGTTTATCCAAAACTTGGAGAGAAAGTCACTCAAGACACACTCTACTGGAAAAACTACAAGGTAAGACTTTTCTCTCCTATGCGGTTTATTATCAACTAAAAATGTCCTTTATGGTATAATCACTATTTTGGTTTGTTTATTGTCCCCTAAAACTTGTTATTTTAAGACCATTCTATCTCAGTAATGCGTCAATGTAATAGCTTAATAACAGAGTTACACTTTTCAGAAGACTAACTCTTCAGCATATTCAGACTTTGGAATTGGACTATGAATAAATAACAAAATATGTTGAAAGAAAATGACTAATTTTAATTACTTTGGCACTGTGCTGTAGTTGTTTGCACTTCGCCTCACAGTAATATGTCCAAAAACATGCTTAACTGGTGATTCTAAGTTGACCATATTTTTTAATATTAACCTGATTGGTTGTCTGCCTCTCCATGTTAGCCCTGAAACAGATTAGTGATATCAGATAAGACAACGGAAAGAAAATGGATGGATGACATTTACTAATAATTGCTTTAAATCCTTTTCTCGTCTTACTTTGTTTCTCTTCCTACAGGCTCCAGTCCAGATAAAAGAATTTGGCGCAGTCACAAGCATAGACTTCTCCCCGGTGACTCCACATAATTTTGCTGTGACAGCATTCACAAGAGTATGTTAGCTTTGCTTGTATTAATGTAGAATTTTCCACTCAGTTTAATCTGGGTTCACTTTAACAATTCTGGCTTATACTCGCTTCTTAATGAGTAATAAACTTTTAAGTATGCAGGATGTGTTTAAGATGTCTTCTAATTCAAACACTCATTTTGTTACAGATCCACATTTATGGGCCATTTTCCCAGGAGCCTGTCAAGTCATTTACCCGTTTTAAGGATACAGCTTACTGTGGGAGGTTCAGGTCAGATGGTCAGCTCCTTGTGGCAGGATGTGAGGACTCTGTCGTGCGACTATTTGATGTTAGTGGCAAGGTGGCCCTCAGGCTGTTTAAAGGGCACACAAAGTAAGTTTTACGCAAGCCTCTGTCTGACTGTGACAAAGTGTTCTGTCATAGAATTTAAAGGAAGGGTTACAAAATAAGCTTAATTTCAACTTGCTGATGCACTTTGAGGTTACTACTATTCTTGGCACTCTAACTATCATCTAATTGGCTATGATGGCAGTTAGGAGGAAATGCCTGTGTATCACATTTTCTTTGCTCACTTTCAAATCCACATATAGCCTCTATAGCACTAATGTTGAAGGAACCAAAACAAATCATCACTATTTAAAGTTTGTGGTTTACAGCATGTTGCTGTGTGGTGTTTTTATCTTTAATAATAAAATGTGAGTGAATTGTTGAGGATTCTTACTTTCAGCAGCCTAATTTCTTTCCTTATGTCACTTTCACCGGTAGTTACAAAAGTACAAATCAAAACATGTTACTAATGACCATTGCTGATGATTAATTTTATTGTTTATTCAAACATTTTTGACGATTTCAAACTTAATTTTAGTCTTATTGGTTATTACCTGTTCACCTGCAATACTTTTATGACCCACCAGGTGGATACTCTCCACATTAGAAATCAATGGTCTACCACTAAAACCATGTCTGATTGACTCTGATGAGCTGGCAGTGTCTTATGAGGTTGTTTTTTTTAGTAAAGGAGTAGTTGAATGATGATTTCTTGAGTGATCCATCGACTGAATTTGATGATGACATCAAGAATTCTGACAGCCTGTATTTCTGTCTTATAAAAGTGCAGTCTCAAACGTGAGCTGATATTAATCATGTCATTTGTTTTTTATTTTTTTCCCAGGGCAGTACATTTAACAGACTTCACCTCAGATCGTTACCAGATCCTCACAGGGTCGGATGACTATACTTGTCGACTTTGGGACATTCCAAATGCCACTGAGCTCACCACCTACACAGAGCACGCAGATTATATTCGCTGTGGTGTCACAAGCAAACTCAACAGAGATCTCTTCATAACTGGTGAGATAGAAGCTCATTTTTAATTGTGTGTGGAAATATCGAGAGGAGGACAGGAAGTTAACATTTTGCCCTGTTGGCATCAATCACACTCATTTTATATTTCAATTTCGAGTGCAATTTTTACCAACAGTCATGTAATGAAAGAAAAACATCTCCTGCACCACATAATGGAGGATTCAAGCAACGAACAGTAATCTCATTAATGTAATGTTAAGACAGAAGTACACTAATTCATATTCAAAGTCAGTAACTGCAGAAAAACTACATAATCTCACTCCAAATGCTACCATCTATTGTTGAATCAAGTGACGCTGCAGATGGCCTGATTTTGTGTGACTAACATTTGATGCTCTTTTTCTAGGATCATATGACCACACAGTGAAACTGTTTGATGCCAGAGTGGAAAAGAGTGTGATAACCATGGACCATGGCCAGCCAGTGGAGAGTGTCCTCCTCTATCCCTCTGAGGGACTTCTTGTGTCTGCAGGTAGTCACCAGTATAATTCATATAATTCAAACACTGACTGTCTGCTGAGCTAATTTTAAGCTTCACACCTTTTTTACTTCCTGGAATTAGTTGGCATACTTTTAGTCATCTGCAGTTTAAAATAATCCTTGTTTATCTTGCACTGGGCCTAGGTGCTGCCCCTAGTAATAATCTATTGTCTGGAACTAGACATGGCTACGAATAGCCTACCTTTAAGCCAGTACTCTTCTTAGTAGATGGATGGAGCTGCTGTGCTCACAACCCTTTTATGAAATGACAATTTGAAGGATGACCGACACAAGAGTAGGAGAAAACTGTCTAAAACTGACCACTTAAACCCGGCTGAAACCTGGGTCTGTTTGCCTATACGGATTACCTGTACATATGCTGACTTCATTATTTGAAACTTTGGCCATGTTTAATATGAGCATCCACCATCCTAACACTACATATATTGTAGAAAATAAGGAAAAGCATCATAGACCGCGATTTAATGATTTCATTCTTATGTGCCAGTTCTAAGGCTGAATAAATGGGAAAGTTGTGCCAGGAATGGTATCTGGTGCAAAATCTATGCCAAATTATCCAGCTGCTATGGCAACTACTTGGAATAACTAACTTGTGTTGAGTACTTATTTAGTACTTGTTAAATACTCATTTAGAACTTAATTTTCTTGGACTACAACATAGGGCAACAACAGCAGTCCATTTCATGCTTCACTGTGGCTGCAGTTCAGACAAACGTTACAATATTTTTATTTTATTACGTGCCCTCATCTACAAACCTTACATTATATTTAATCATGGTTAACCACAGCATTAAAAAACCTTCAATCCCTTTTTTTTCAGGAGGGCGCCATGTGAAGGTTTGGGATCTGCTAAAAGGAGGCCAGCCTCTGGTGTCACTGAAGAACCATCACAAAACTGTCACAAGTTTGGCTCTCAGCAGCAACGGACAGAGACTGCTGTCAGCTTCTCTTGACAGGTAAATGTCAAACGCATGCACGTCTGTCATAACAAAGAAAGAGGAAATGTTCTAACTGGTGGAATCAAACGTCACAATGCTGAATATTTAGTTAATAGTACATGTGTAAATCATGTGCTTGGTTTTGTTCTGTGTACCTAGGGCGTTCATGAAAGGAAAGTTGATTTAATGCATATCCCGTGTTTGTCTTTCAGGCACGTGAAGGTGTACAACACAACAAACTACAAAGTGGTCCACAACTTTGACTATGCTGCTTCTATCCTCAGTCTGGGTTTGGCTGTAAGTCATGCACTTGAGCCTTTGTTAGTTGCTAAAATATATATTTTATTTACTATTTCAACCTTTCTTTAGATGAAGTGCATTCACTGAATACACCACCAAAGTGAGCTTAGATGGGCGAGATCAACTATAAGAATTCATTCTGTTTCTTTAATTGATAAAAGTAAAACTCTGAATATCTTTTTCTTTTTAGCCGGATGATGCGTCCATTGTTGTGGGTATGACCAACAGTATTCTGAGTATCAAACACAGGAAAAACCAAGAAGATTCAAAGGAAGTAGCTGGCCAACAGAGGCGCCGTCCATCGTATCGTGTCTTTGTGAAAGGGAAAAATTATGTCCCTAAACAGGCAAGTTCACGATTAGTAACACGTAGAAGGTGTGAAAATCATTCTCAGATGTAATGCAAAGTGTTAAGTGTTAACACAAAATCAGATTGACTCATGAGACTGTTTGATTTCTCACCCTTGATTCATTCAATTCTTGGTTCTTCTCTAGGATGATTATCTTGTCAGTAAGCCTGTCAAAGAACATTTGGCCAAATATGACAAGCAACTTCAAAGGTTTAACGTATCCAAGGCTTTGGATACAGCTCTGGGGGTATGCAATTTATTGATTTATAGTGTTATCGTTATATCATTGCTGAGGTGCCTTTTAGTCTCCGTGTTGTTCATTTTACATTGGGCAGTACACAACAGTATGTGCAGTTATTTTGGAAAAATAAAAGTTTAAAGTATTATTGTGTTTAATGTTCAAAGGTATTGTTTTTTTTGTTTATAGACATATATTAGATTCAGAAAGCCTGAGATCACCGTGGCTGTTATAAAGGAGCTGGATAGAAGAGGAACACTGAAGAATGCACTGGCAGGAAGGGATGAACGAGGGCTCTCTCAGTTACTCAACTTCATCATTGGGTGAGATGCAAGAGAAAACTGAGCCATAATGTTAGCATTATGACCCCTCACAAACGAAGTGAATAACAGCCTCAAGGTCTAAAAAAAATTACACTAATTATTTGATCGGTCACTTTTGGACCACAGACACTTTTGTGTAGTTCCTCTAATTCTTGAAAGACGTCTCTCCAATTTTGTGTGTCTGCACTGCAGGAATTAAAGTGAACTTAGGGAGTTTTTTATTTTTATTTTAAGTACCCGTTTCAGGGTAAAGAACCTTTGGCACAAAAAAATCCCCTTTGACTGATGTAAGTGTGATTTACGAATTTGTAGGTCAACACTTGGTTCTAAAATACGCACTATTACTTTACATCTTTTGTCTAGTGTAGAATTTACAAATAGCTGTCTGAATTCTGAAAATGCTTCACAGAAAGTACCATTGCTCCCAGCGTTTTTTGTTCTTTTTCTGTTTCTATCATGGATAGTACCCCATATAAAACATGGGACACAACCACACGGTAATTACCACATAACAACAGTGCAACAACAGTGGCTGCATATTTAGGTTCTGTCGTAGGGGAATCTACAAAGATTCCCCATGGAAGTAGAAATCAGGTCTTAGCTTGCTCTATGTCTGTGCCTCAGCAGGTTAGAGCTGTTTTGGTGGCACAAAAAGTACCAAAAGAGAAGTCATAATGTTTTATAGTTTGCAGCTGTACAACAGATCATGCAGAAAAATGTTTCCCACATTCATTCTTTTTTTTCTGTTTCATCCAGGAACTTGGTTGATGCCAGATTTACTCCTGTCCTCGTAACAGCAGCCGAGATGATCCTGGACATCTATCAGTCAGTCATTGGCCAGTCACCCGTGGTGGACCGACAGCTGCTGCGGTTGCAGGACCTTGTGAAGAGAGAGATCGAATTCCAGAAGGACCTTTTGGAGGTGTTGGGAATGTTGGACACAATGTTTGCTTCCTCCCTCCCAAGAAAGGAGGTGCCATGCTCTGGCATTGGCAGGTCAAATGGTCTGACTCAGGGAGAACCAAGCACCTCAAAACCACAGCTGCAGGTCACCTGAGACTTATAAGCTACTTTAGACTGGGTTTAAGTACCTTTAAAACATTTCTTAATGGACCATCAGACGCAAAGCTCCTGTCTAGGACATTTCGAAAAAGAAAGGTGCAAGTTTTAAGAGACTGACGAAACACAGTCTCACTCTGGTGATTTAATTCAGTGTGACTAGCACAATAAGGATCAGAGAGACCATACATTTACTGTATGAAGAATATCTGAATGTGTGGATGTAAAGCAAAGCATTTCTTGTATTAGAAATCTTATAATTACAAGTCGAATTGTAAATGCGAGTCTGTATGTATGGTAGTGGCTGAGTTCACTGTGAGTGTGTATTTTTATAATGTCTGACATTGGTAAATGTTTCATGAGTAAATAAAAAATAAGTCGTTTGTCATTTCCACACTGACTGATTATAATTGTTTAATTGCTTTTAACAACAGGCGCAGTAAATTTCCATTGTTAAAATGAATGTTTTTGTTTATATAGCCTGGCACAGTTTTATCGCCCTCCATTGGGGGGCGCTGTAACCTCAAAGAAACTGAACTTTCACTCGTAAAGGAGGAATTTGCATGTAAGCAGACGGAAGACCGAAGGCTTAAACGGAGACAGGAGAGGATGCTGTGTCAGTGGAGGCTGAGGCTCAGTCTGCAAGCGCATCAGCACCGACTGTCGACCCCTTCCCAACTTGTAGCCTAAATACGGACAGTTGAATTAGCAGTTAGCAAAAGGAGGATGAATCCGAATTAGAGGGATTTTTCTCCCCCACATATAAGCGTGCTGCCAAGGTTCTGTCGGAGTTTGAGCCCCTGTGCAGGTGGGTGCGTCAATATTTTACTTGAGGAATTAGTTCAATGTGTGTTTTGCATGCAGTCTTACTGACAATTTGCTAACTCGTTAAGACTCCCAAAACAGCGTAATTTAAAAAGCTTTTAACAATAAGTAAAATGACTTTGAGCCATTAAGAAAAAATACAATTGCACCTTAAGATAGTTGGAGGATATTTTATGAGAAATAGCCACTGACGTCCCAACTGGGATGAGCACTTCTGCTGTGTCATATAGCTAGCATATTTACAAAATAGCGCAAAGTCCCCCTACCCCCTTTAAATTGTTTTTCCTTTGACACTCTGATATTTAGTTAATGTTATTTAAAATATATATACCATTTTAAATGTAAATGCAATGCAGTAATAAAAAAAAAAAGCAATTTTTTTTCTTTAAAAATAGTTGTTTTACAGGGATTGTGTCCAGTTTAGGAAGTGACCACTGATACAGAACCGATCTGAACCCTGCAGGCTGAAATCCAATCGATTTCCTACTAAACACGCAGGCACGCACACACACACAGCAGATTTGGGAACATTTGGCGTTTTGGTGCTTCAACACACCAAGGCAGAATAGTATCATCATTAAAATCATTATTCTTGGGATCAAAAGATTATCCTGTCTCATCACAGGACCCCTGACTCAGCACGGCACATAAAAGGTTTGGTAATCTCTTCAGGATCAGAGGAAAAAGCAGAATAACCAAAATAACAAAAGAGGTAATGGGTAGTCACATGGCCACTCCAAGTGTGCAGTGTGTTTTCTCTTTTTCATTTTAGTCTCTCAGTTATCTTTTTGTTTTATGTTTGTCTTCCCTGCAGATGGAACTGAGCAGAAGAAAAGTGCCTCTGTATGTAAGTATGCGCCCCAGTTTGCAGCCTAGATCAGCTTCTTAAATTAATCTCAACAGTTAGTTTTCCCTCTGGAAAATCTCTAAAAATTGAGTTTGGAATTCAGTGAGAGATCAGCATCCTTGTTTATAAAATGAAAGTCACTGACAGATTGTGCTGTGTCTGAAAGGGTGTGACTGATATGTCTTCCTATGTCTGTTCATCATGTTAGCTGTAGTTTCTCTGTACGATTTATTTAAATGTGAACCCAGTGACCCTTTCACTGTGTTGTTGGAAATGGTGTTTTCAGACATATGAATAAATCATTTCTGTGTTGTTGTTTTTTTGTTTGTTTGTTTGTTTTGCTGTTGAACGCTAATTCAAAGTAACTCAGGGAAAAAAATAAACACATCTATCAGCACATAGGTGACAATAAGATCCTGGCATTTGTGTAGCTACCTACCAAATTGGTAACTCCGTGATTCATTCGCAGTGATGTTTTTTATTTGTATTTTACTTGATGAAAGAGAAATTGTAATTGCTGTGTATTTGATATGTGGCGTTTTTGATCATGGTAACCCTTTGAACCCCTGCTGCCTGTGATTAAGCTGTACACAAACAGGGCATGACTTTGGTCAAATATTATTTTTATTGGTTTGGTGGCCAAACAGTGCAAGAAAAATCATGCTCCTTTCGAGATCAAAGGCAGATGTTTTGCTCACATTTAGTTCAGTAATCTATAACTAATGTCATGCCCCTGATAGTTATTACAATTTTTAAAACTCAAAAGCATGTGTCTGAAAGTGTGTGTCTGTTACTATTGTGATCATTGTCCTGTTGCATGACCCAGTTTCAGCCAATCTTTAACTGTTGGGACAGTTTGACTCTAGAATACTTTGGCATACAGATGCTCCACTCAATGACTCCAATGTGCCCAGGTCCTTTGGCTGTTTGTGCTGATATGCTGTGCTTGTTTTTTGCCAAATGGGGTACTGTGCATTACGACCATCTCCACTTTGGTCTCCTCTGTCCAAAAGACGTTGTTTCAGAAGTCTGTTGATTTGTTCAGGTGCAACTTTGCAGACTTTATAGGATAATTTGATCACATACAGAAAAATGCTTTGTTGTATTAGTGCAGATCACTTAGCAACACAACAATTAACAACATTAACCTAAGTTATAACAAACCAAGCACACCCCTTTGCGAAAACAGAACAACTTGAGTAACAGTAAATGGAGCAGAATCACTGAACTGGTCGAGTCAAACTTGGAGGCAGCCCACCCAGCAACTGACAGGACCTATAGGATGTGCTGCCAACATCCCTGTCAGGCACCACAAGACAAGCACAGAGCTCTCATGCTCATACCTCAGCAAGTCAGAGCTATTTTGGCAGCATCACTTGGATCTAAACAGTATGAGACAAGTGGTTTTGATATTGTAGCTGATTGGTGTATGTGCTCACATCCACATAATAATATGCTATCCTTCAAGGTGCAAGACAAAGTAAAAAGTAGCATATGGCCACACTGGCACACTTCATATCATTGAAAGCACCAGAAATAGTTTTGTTTGAAAGTCTGCTCCAATCCATTCTTCTTCTGCCTCTGGCATTATCAACAGATATTTCCAGTATTTCATTTAGTGACCACATTACCATTAGTGGTCACGGTCTGGTCAATCATACAGATGTAGAGAGTCTTAATGAGGGTCCAGGAGAAGCCTGGTTGACGTTTGAGGATTTGTGGTCAAATAGAAATCTTCCAGACATGAAGAAATAAATAAGTGAACGCAAAGGTTAGATTAGGTGAGACAATGAGAAATGGAGGCAGGATTACTCAAAGTGTCCTTATTTTAGTCAATAAGAGGAGTGAAAGCAAAAAGCCTCTGGTTTTATTAACCATGAGAAATCAGGTCAGCTGTTGAGGCCAAAAGAAAGACTACTGAAAATACACTCTTAAGCCATCTACACTAATCTGTAATGTATATTGCATTTCACGGTAAACCTTACCTTTAGGACCTACATTTTGGCTGCAGCTTTTTTTGCCTCAGGCCTGTTCCTCTACTCCCGCCTCAGTCAGTCTTTTGATAGGTTTCCAAGAATAACCCACACAATATGTCTTGTGGCCTCAATACACTGGTCTATTGAGGCCACTGTAGGTGGACAAATTGATATCGTCTACAATAGATTTCTTCCCCTGTGACTGTTGGATGGTGGTGAAAAAGCAGCAGCTCTGTTAAAAGACAACTAGCCTGGGAAGCTTTTATTTTGTAGCTAGTGAAGCTAGTTCATGTTCAGCCTTTATACTTGAAATCTTTTGGTTGCATTAGTTATAACCACGTATTCAAAGTGGAAGCATCACATGAAGACAACAGCATGGACCCAGAAATGTGCAAAGATGCAGAAATCTGTTGAAAAACTTTGGAGACTGCAAAAAGTAGCAACTAGCCAAAGAACATAGTGGATGTATTTATATGTACTTGTGAGTAAAGAGTGAGTGCTAGACTTTCTCAAGTGGTTACTAAGAAGACTGGTTAAATGCTAGTGTTGTTTATATTTACTGAAAGTGTGAATAAGCAGCTGTTTTGAACAGCTTGCCACTTTTTGGCTGACAAGTTAAAAAAATGAATAGCTTGTGCTTTCAATATAACATAAATATTATTTCAATATATAAAACCTCAAGGTCTCAGCAAATCAGATTTCTGGGATCCTTAAAGGCTTGTATTGTTTTAATATAATTAACAGAACAGTTATAGGATGTCTTATTTTTAGATGTGTACTAGTCGATTTATTTATTTATTATTATTATTATTATTTTATTTTATTTGTGTGACTGTTCAAACCTTTTTTTCATTCTTTCTTTTGCCTTAAATGAGAAATCTAAAGTCTTGTAGCCTGTCTGGATCAGGACGGGTCTTTGAGGAGGCGCTAAGGCATTCCTGTTTTTATTGAGGAGGGATGGTTTATTGTACCCTCGAGAGGAATGCCATCAGGGGATTTGGTGTACTTTACAGAAATCTAGAACATCAGAATCAGAATAAAGTCTTGCTCTAAAATGAGCCTGTATACTTAACAATAGATGTATTTTTTTGATCGGTAGCATCTTTCTTCTTTGTTTTTCCTCTCGACCTCTTCCACCTTCATTTATCCCAGGGCGAAGCAAAGGTATTTGCATTGCTGGATGGTTTTGACTCTGCGCCAGAAGATGCAGAGGTTTACATTGTTTTGGAAGGATCCACACTGATCCATGTCACCAGGGCTCACAGTGATGTCATGCTCTGCTTTATTGTCCCCGGTATGTTTATGACTTTCTGATGTAGTATTACATGTGTAGTACTGTGTAAAAGTCTTAAATCACCCTCTATTTCTTTGTATTTTCCTAGGAAAATTAGAAATACATACAGCGAACATACATGGAAATATAGTTTCCTCACTGTTTCAGTACCTTCGGATGGTTTCTTAGATCAACTGAATAACAAGATGCTTCTCTCGGATCCTGTGTCACAGTTTTGCTCAATTTTTTTCTTCCTATTTCTTAACATGGTTTTCAGATAGTGTTCCTCCATTTTAATGTTTTTTTTTTTTAGGCCCTCCACTTCTTTTGTCCTTGACTTATTTGGATATCCTGAAGCTATTGCTTAAAGAAAACTCATAAAAATTACATGAAAGTTTGGCTCTTTGGAAGCAAAATGTAAAGAAATGACGGGTGCTTTAGGATTTTTGCACAATATTTTATGTTCTCATGTCTAATGCCGTATTTTGGTATTTTACAAAGCCATCGTCAAACATTAGTATATTCTAGCAATCCCATGTTTTTCCACTTTTTCACTCCCGATTATATATCAGAATACCTAAAAGAAGTATGTATTTGAATTTGGCTTACACATAAACATGTCCCTACAGTGGCTTGAGGTCTGACAGGGTGCAGAATCTTAGCAGCTTCCACATAGGAGTGAAACAGCTCCATGAACAATATGTCATTATTACTGAGCCTCTGTGTAGGTTGACTCAAACAACAGGCAGTCCTGCAGGCTTTGCACTCTCAAACATACTAACTCAATGCAGAAATGCAGAAAACAAAAAGTGCCTTTGTTAGCATCCAAAAAGAAAAGCTGATACTCAAACATATCCAAGGGCTTGGAGGCATTCTTAAAGCCCTGTAACCATAGTGTGTTTTTGTAGTGTTGACTCATTTCTCACAAACCATAAATCCTTTTGATAGATTTCCTTTCACCCTTTTGGGCTTCTATTTCTGTTTATTAAACACAGTTTGAACAAAAAAATCTGTAACTTTTGGAGTTTTTTGTTCCACCATATAAAAAGATATTGTTTATTTAACTGATGTTAAATATAACTTTTGTTGTGCTTGCTTAGGCCATAATCTGGCAGAGATGGTTTCTGTCCAGGCATACCTGTGCTCTGAAACTATACCTCTCACCTGGGTAGGCGAGGCTTCATTAGAGTATGTTCATGATGATGCTCAGGTAAGAAAAGCCAAAAAAAGTGTGCTTGTGGTAAAAATTACATGTTAATACAGTTTTTTCTTGTGCACATGCTTTTTAGTTCATATATAATTGATAAGAATTCTACTGACATTTTTGTATTGGAATGGGAAACGCTCCAATACAAAGGCAGCAGTGAAAATAATGTTTTGTAGAGCTCTTCAGTTACACCTGATTGTATCTTATTCACAACTGGCACCCTTACAGGACCTCGCAGAGCACCTGGTAATCCATGGACATTGTCTGAACTCCACGGATCACAACGAGCTGAGCAGCCTCTTCAACCTGGGCCAGCAGAGCTCCCATTGGGCTATGGATCACCGAGTGGCCCTGGCTATGGCTAACCTCGATATCCCCCCAAACTGGAATGTACTCGGGAGCCACAGTGGAGACGGTGAGAGCTGCACTGTCTTATCTTGCAGAACAGGGATTCCTACACAGTTATGCTTATCAAAGACACATAAAATGCAGTTTTTATTTCATGAAAAAATGTATTTAAAAATACAAAAAATTGAAAATTCTTAAAATGGTACACTCTGTTTATCCAAACAAAGTTGTAGCTTGGAAAATGTCATGTTAGAGGGAGGGGTTTTAATTAAAGAGTGGATTTACAGACAAGGATAATATATTTAATTATGTACACGTTTATTCATACAAAAAAACAAAAAAGAGGACAGCTATAGATTAGAAATGTAGCTGACAGCCTTTGTCATAATGCATCACTCAGCACTGTCCTGGTAACTATACCAGGAGGTTGAACTCTTCAACTCTGCAACCCCTCTGCCCACCTTCTCCCCAGCCATTATTCCCATTTTCCATGCTCACCAGGCTGAAATCGGAAGTGAACATGGTCCAACGTGTTCCTCTGTTAAATTCATCAAAGCCAATTAAGCAGCATGTAATGTGGTTAATAGAGCCTTTCCATCTGGAAGTAGCCCTAGGCAGAGCTCAATAAATCTGAGCGAGCATGTGTTTGTGTGTTTGCGTGTGGCCTGTGTGTGTGCTGACCACCAAGTTTACTAGATGCCACCATCTGTTTGTATGATCTGAGTGTTTGTGTAGGGCCACCTACATAAATAACAAACTAGATTTAGCTGTAATATAGTTATGGCAGTCTGTTTCATTGCAACGTCTCTCTCTAAATGTCTGCAGTTAATTTGATAACACTGCTTATGACATCATTCTATTGCCGATGCTTAATACAGCTCAATGATCAATCCCCGAATCTCTTAAGTACTCACTGTTTGCATGCAGTGCTTTCAATAAAAATTTAAAAGCACTGGAACATCTTAACAAATCCTTGTTACTGTCACAAAGACAAAAGATGACACTGGAGGTAATCATGTTCTTCCTGAGAACATTTCTTAAACTGAGCATACTAGAAAAATTGTAGCATTGTATTAACGTGCATTTCAATGCTCCGGACCTGCAAAATGCCAAAACGTCTGTTGTTGTTCACAGTTGCTGATGATCAGTTAATGAAGTGCATTTTATCAGTCACACCTGACTGTTACACACTCTCTTAGTTCTTATGGAATCAACAAGTGTGGCCTTAGTCTTTCACAGGACTGCATGGAAAGCTGTTTGTTCTTCACATGGCTGTATTCATTATATTAAAAATAGAAGCTGCACAGTAGGAAGTCAGTACAGTCAGTAGTAGTCAGTGCAGCTTTCATGACATTTGCATTTTTATTTTTACAGTATGTCTTCTGTCCACCCTACTTTTCAAATATGCACTAAATCCTGGCATGGATGCCAGTGTTGCACATTTTTGGAGAGAGATTCTGTCATTCTTTTTCAGCTGTTCTTTCTTAGGTTGTTTTGTTCTGTCTTTCTCTTCACATGTTATTATTGGATTTAGGTGGTGACACACTTGACCAAGTCTTCATAATCTTTACTGATTCAGTCATTGAACTTTGGATTTTTGTCAGAGGATAAAGCCTAGTACTCCTCTCAAAAAGCATTGAGAGGAGGAAGCATTCTGGTAATTTTCAGACATTAATGGCTCCATCTATAAGTCATCTCCTGACATCTTTTGCACTCGCCACACTGTCACCTCTGTGCCTCATTATTTCAACTTTTCAATTCAAGTCAGTTTTATTTATATATTGTATTTATAGCACCAATTCATAACAACAGTCAGCTCATGGTTCTTCTGTGTGTATTTACTCTGGTAGTCCTGGCCAAGTTCATGCTGCACCCAGTCAGAGCTGTAAAAATGTATCTCACCCAGTATTCGTCAGGCACCTTTTCATGTTCATTAGCAAAGTTTAATCTTGCAGCAATGTGCTGAACAGCAAGCCAGGACATTTTTTTTCTTGGACTCTCTCCACAGAGGTTGTTATGCAATGTTCTTCATACTGAATGAGCTGTCACAAAAACTCAAGATTTCAATTGGTAAGCCTCATGCTAAGTACGAAGCGCTTCCTGTCTGTTTTATGAAGCTAGATTCTTCACATCATGCACCGTCTTTGGCGTTATTTCAGGAGGAAGCTCACAGCAGCCTAATTAGTTGTAGAAGTAATGAGAATGAGTCACAGTACAAGTATATAAAAACTGATATTTTTAGTTATTGTTTTTACTATTTCTTCTTTTAAAAGTATAAAATCTTGAAATAATTATTTTTTGTTTTACTTTCGCTGGTAATTTATTTCAGTGTGAACCCATGTAAATCCATGATGCACTTATGCATCGTGATAGAAACATCAAAGTATAAAAGGAAGAGAAAAACTAAACATGGGACCATTCTGATTCTTTTATAAAAAACCTTTTCTTTAGTTAGTATAACTGGAAGTCACAGGTGTATTCTCTTTATTTCTACTTTTGGGACTGAAGTTTCAGTTTAGTTTCTCTAAAGTATGTTTTATCCTCTGTAAAGGGAAATACCCTAGTTGTCAGCTTAGAAATATTGTGATTCTGAAAAGGTGATACAGTCCTGAATTATTTGAAGTTTAAGTGCTCTTGCACAGAGCTTGACTCATTTCTCATCATCCTGCGGGTATTTCTTAATCTTTACACAGCTACCCATTACAGTAAAAAAGGCAAACTGTATGGTATCACAATGTAAAAAAAAAACAACTACCATTTTTATGATGAGATGACAATTTTAAGTGATACCAAGTGTTGCTTCTGTTATATTTGTATATTTTTCCTGCAATTTATTCTTTTCAGACAGCATTTGTCATTTATATCGGAGTTAACTAACGTACTTTAATGTAAACTTATTCTCTCTTTTAAGGTATAGTAATAAGATAAAAAAAACTTGTTAGAGAGTAAAATGTTTTTCGGCTGGAGCAGTTTTATCTGGTACAGATAGAAATCTTGTCGGACTGCATTAAATGGCAGACACAAATCTAAGAAGTCGTCACATTTGTAGACTGTCTGTTGTCACGATCTTGTTAAAAGGCTTCTGTTGCCTTAAAATAGGTCAGTGGACCAGAGGGATCCAGTGCTGTGTAAGAATAGAAATCAGTTAGTGACAGTTCAGATAGTTATCCTAATTAGACGGTTATCCAGATTTCTGACATGCTAGTTTCCTCCTGGTTAAGCAGTTGTCTTGGATCCCGCTGCATTCTTTCATGTCTTCAGAGATGTCATTTTTTAAAATTGTAATATATTTTTCTCCCTATTCTCCAGAGCACTGTCCCAGAGAGTCTCCCCTCCACCTAGCTGTTCGATGGGGTATGTGTCGACTTGCAGAGCTGTTGCTTTGCCAGCCTGGGGGTTTGATGGCTGTCAATCTGCCAAACGAAAATGGAGTCACGCCGCTGCAGCTGGCACAGACAGCAGGCAACACTGAACTGTTGGAGCTGCTCTCCAAGTAAGATTATAAACTTTAACGAGGTGCTTCCAGGAGAGACTCTGACAAATGAATGACTGTTTTGATAAAACATTGTGTATTCAGTGTAGAAGTTTCCTGTGCTCCTGTCAGGGAAAGACCAGATCATATGCACTTAATGACAGTAAATGTGATATGCAATATGTTAAAGAAGTTTGGGAAAATAGTAAAAACAGTATTCGAAATATCAACCCTAATGCCTAATATTTTTTTCTGTTGTTTTGCAGCCCACCCAATCCACTAGCTACACCTCCCGCTGGTCTTACCCAGGTGTGGGCAGACAGATCTCGCCTGCTTAGGTTCTGTCATGACATGGGGAACCTGACTCTGACTGTCAGACAAAACCTGAGGTGGAGCTCGGAGGAGAGCCGACATGCTGACATTCTGCTTCTCAGAGAGCGACTGAGAGATGAGGACTTCCTCAGAGGGGTGAGCAGAACAATATTATGATGGTCGTAAAGATTGTAAAGGTGATATTTGTAAACACAAGAATAAATTAGAAAAAGGTAGTTGATTACAATTATATAAAAGCAAAACAAAAAAAATTACAGATTAAGCTTTTGTTGAGGATGTTTTTTTTTGTTCAAGGTTCTTAAAGGTACTATTAAATTAAGGTTAGGTAGCAGGTGTGCAACTAACTAAACAGAAAAATCAAAACCCATAAATACAATACTTTCTCAGTTTACCGAATCTTTTGATTTAAATGCTGCTTTTTCTCCTACAGATCAAAGCACTAAGGAGGGAGCGGGTGGAGACGATCTTAGGGAAGGAAGAACTAGTGGATGATCCTGCAGACAGTGGTATCATACACATTCAATCTGTCTGATTTGTGGGATTTGGAGGCCTGATTAAACTAAACCATGCAGTCTTAGCTCTCCTCTTTCATGTTGAGATGATTTGCTATTTTTCACTGTATTGAATCTACACACTGTGGTGTCATGCAGACTTCAGTAGAAATTGACTGCCCTCATCTGGGCTTTGTGGGTACTGCAAAGATATGGCAAAAAACAAGTCAACTGTATGAAGGTGGCTGTTTGTCATTTCTTTGCTGAATAGATGATCAATCGTTAGTCAGTTATCAGGGAAATAATTAAAAACAATAACAACAGTCTACTTCAAAACTTTCTGCTTAAAAGTATTTCTCATCAAACATAATCATTTAAAAAACAAGGTAGTTGAAGATATTTTGTTTATAAAATAAAATGTGGGAAGTTTTGGGCAAGTCTGCTTAATCATTCCTTCCAGTGGTAGATTTGGATAAAGAGTAGAGGACGGATTTACTACTTCATCAAGCAGATGTAAAGGAAGCTCAGTAAAATAAAGAGTTCTTCAAATCTGATGTAGGCCTTGTTTTTAAATGTGGATATTTAAGGATATTTAAATAGATGAATAAAAACTTTGACCTGTTCCTGGTGCTACAGGAAAACTCAGCATGGCATAAAAATTCTTATAAAAATTCCCTACATAAGGCCTGTGGACATTAAGTAGGGAATTTTAAAGCAGTTTACCCACTAGTATTTGGCATATTCCACTGAGATCCCAAGCCACATCACTAGTGTGATTGACAGTATCTTTGACAGTATCTGAGCTAGTTTTGTTTTTATTTTTGAAATATTTCATCCTTCTCTTTTTTGTCCCTCTGTCTTTGTCTCTCAAGCTCTGGCACTACTTTTTCTCTTCTCTCTGAAACTCTGTTCCAGCCTATCTATCTTTTATGGGCCACTTCTGCTACATATCCTGCCTTCATTTTTCAACATCACCCAAGGCCACTAATCAAACCACCCAAACACTAATTTCCATGTATTTCTGCCTTGTTACTGGTAAGCCATCATACACCGTGCCCTTTGATCTAGGATGAACATGGTAATTAAATGAAAATGGAGATCAAGGCCACACAGTAAAAATAAATAAATCCCCCAGGTTTATGAAAAGAAAAGAAAAACCTGCGTTTACGTGGGATCATTAAAAACTGGCAAGCATCTGTGCTTACTTGTGTTTCTTTTGAAGTTTGATGGCTGTGTCTGAAAATGTTGTCTTTTTTTTCAGCACTGTATCCTGACATAAATGGAGAAAACTCTGCCGTTGAAGAGAATGTAAGTATTTAACGCACGGCAGTAAAACATTTTTATAAGGATTCACATGCGTACAAGTCTATGGATTACAATATGATCCGAATATTCTTGACAAATTCCGTGCAACAAGAGGCGTTCCTTCCAATTTTCCTGAATATGTTATTACAGGTGGCATTTTAAACACACTTATTCACTTTCCATGAACATCTGTACCAGCTAGTGGCAAGCACTGCTACAATAACTGTGGAGCATTGTCTGCTTCTCAATGCTCCACAGTTGTTGTTTTTTTTTTTCACTCTTATTGTCAAGGTGCTGGATTTGGCACCTTGCACACACCACTGAATAGCTGACTTTGTGAGCGGTCAAGTGTGTGTTTCGTGTTTTGAGAGGTGTGGTGTGTGCACATGATTCTTGTCATCCAGTAGGAACAGTTTAATGTGTTACAGATGGTTAACTAATTGATCTGTCTCACACACCTAGGCACTCGCCAAACACTTGTGTTTTTTTACTTAGTTCTACTCGTTTTTTTCGGTTTTTGTGGTATGCTGGAAATGCGCATGCTGTTTCGTTAAAGGTTCCCAGTTTCTACTCCGAAGTATACGAGGAGCCGCTGATGTTCTGTCTGAATGAGGAGGACGAAGAAGACGAGCCTTCACAGTCTGACTCTGGTAAGATTTTCTTTCAAAGTAATTTTGTTTTTTTAGAAGTCCGTTTTTAGCTGTGGTTTTAATTGTACAGTTTGTGGTACATCAACTTTTGTGCAGACGGGAATCGATCACTGTTGTTTTAGGTGCTGTTATGTTCATAGGAAGTTATCCAAGTAGCTTCAAATTATTGAGTGAGTTCAAACTGCAGGAAACATTTCCTTTCCTGAACAGAACTTGGAACTCTAACCATCATCTATGGCTGCCGACTGTCCCCGCTGACTATAGGATCACATTTCAGGCCCCTGGCTTGTCTTGCCCCCCTCTCCCTGAAGTTTTTTTAGTCGTGTCACTCTGTGTTTACAGTTATTGTTGAACCGAGCAGGATCTTTTTTTTTTTCTTTTTTAATGAACACTTCATCCTGAGTCATCCTGCTTCTGCCAGTAGTGACAGGAGACCAGAAACAAACCAAGCCAATTCCTGACTAAATGGCTGAAGGTGGCTTCACTCTGATGTACTCCTGGATTGCAAGAGGAAGGATTTGAGAGTGGGAACATCCTGTGGGTTAATAATTGGCTGGTATTACTGCAGACCAGACTGATGCCTCAGTGTAAGAATGCTGTGGTGACAAGCCGAGGCTTCAGACTTTATAACACTTGGCACTGAACATCTGTAATCTTAGCATCCTGTGGTGAGTGTAGTTTTTCATGCTAAATGGTTAAGCCATTTTGTCCTCTGTGTGCATGTTTCTCTGTGTTTGTTAGCTGAGTGGAAGCTCTTCATCATTTTCGTGTAGCCTGTGATGTCTGCCTCCCTCTGGCCTCTTTTGACCCCTTAAATCACCTTCTGTGGCTCAGATCAAATAATATTGGTCACTTGAATGATGTTTTGCACAAGTTTCCCCTCAGTGGGTCATGTTTGAATGAACACAGCTCAGACTGGAAATGACTCAGGTTTCATACATGCCATTCTTCTGGGATAAAGGTGCTCATTTGACCCTTAAAGAATTTAAATTCTTCAGTAAACATTCCAGGCCTGTCAGGTATCGTGAGTGGCTAGAAGGTTTTTACATTTTTTAGTGAAGTAGTGAAGCTTATATTGTGATTCTGGTCTGTTTGTTAACACTAACAATATGGCTGCATACGTTGAGCGAATGCGTCATCGAGTACACAGACAGAACTTGTGTATCCAGCGCTTCAGCTAGGGATGAGGAATTTCGAATGTAGCTGTCATCTTTCCCCTATCTTCTTGATGTCATCTTTCCTGTCTCCATTTCAGATTACTGTAACTTATTTGACATGACTGTATGTACATAGAAAACTTTTTTTTCTTTTTAAGGTTTTACTCTTTTCAAGATTCATATGATAATTTGGATTTTTTTGAGAGGGATAAAGGACTGTTTGTCTTCTTCAGTCACACATTCTCCCATCTCTGCCTTCCTAATGCCCCTGATATTTAAATACCCCACCCAAAACACACTCTTGCACCCAAATGCCTACATACAGACGAATACACATACCATTCCCCATCACATCCTTCCAGGTCAGCATTTTAATGTGAGTTTAGCGAACAAATAGCAAAGGCCACTTCATCCCGAGGAGCGCTGCTCTCCTCCACAGTTGAGGAGAGGGAAGAAGTTTCTGTGTGCGTGTGTGTTCACTTGTGTATTTGATTGGAAGAATTCAGTAGGGAAGAGTGCTCTGAGTGGGACAGGGGTATAGGGAAGTAAAAAGGGGGTGTTTGTGGTTGAATGGGGGTTGCCAGGGCTTTGCTGAATGCAGTTTTCCAGCAGCTTGTTGAGATCTCCAGGGAAAGGAGAGCAGAGGAGTGTTAAAGCAGTGTGTGTTTATGTGTGTGTGTGTGTGTGTAATAGGGGGGAAACTGTGAGAGAAAGGGATTTATGATATGGATAGTTTGGCAGGGTGTCAACAAACGATAAGTGCAGCACCAGGAGCGCAGAGAAGAGTCTGCGACCCCGACTGTGGGATCTAATTGGAGAATGGAAAAAAGGATTAAACCTCACACAGACCCCACAAAGGCAGCATTAATGTTCACTAGCCCGGTGCCAACACCCTCCATCACCCCTCCCCATGCACATACACAGAAACTTTCTATAGTCACAGTGTACCTCTTTTTCTACTCTTCGCGTATATTCTGCCTGCAAAACCCATCTCATCTCCTTTTTCTCTCTCTGTTTTTCCACATTCCTTCATTTATGTGCATGTGTAAACCCATGCTTGACCTCTTTTCACAGTGCCATTGTCCAGTTTGTCTTGTAAATCCTCTTTACCATCCTTTTTGCTGATCTTCACTTGTATCTGTGCTGCTGCAATTGGAGCACTGTACTCCTGCAGTTTGGCAAGAGGAGGAAACATGGATGAAGAAAACAGCAGCAGCTCTCTGTGCTGTCTCCATGGAGAAGCTGCTAACCTGGCAGTCCCTCCTCCCCTCTCAGCTGGGCTTTGACATGCTAAAATATAGAGAACGAGAGAATGGAGTGATTGAGAAGGACTCTCTTCAGATGGCATTAGGCATATTTGGGATGAATTGCCAGTGCTTTTAACTGGGTAGTGTTCAGCTATGCAGCCTGGTATCTCTCCGAGACAGTTATGGACTCACAGAGTTAATGATTTCTATCATGTCTGAGACTCACTTTCAATAAGCAGTCTGGCTTCATGTTTCTCTTCGCTGCCGGTTCTAAAGTCATTCCTATATTTGACTGTTTCTCTCCCTTCCTCAGTCCCTCCTTTCAGCTGTCAATACCCTCCTCCCTCTGCTGCTGTCAGCATGTGTATATCTCGCTCCCTCTTTCTCATGACCGTGTGTGGTATATGAGCAAAGAAGGCAGAGACTGACTTAGTTACCTAAAAGTTTGCTCAGATGTAAGAAGAGCAGACAGAGAGGAAACTCAAAAAGAAAGAGTTCAGCCCCGGCTCTGCTGGACAGTTGGTTGAGAGCTGTGGAGGGGGAAGGGGAGTAGTTTAGGGGGAGGGGTGGTTGGGGGAGACAGAGGGGAACATGCTGGCTCACTCCTGAAGTGTCAGAGTGTCTGCAGCAGGGCTCCGGGAAAAAAAGGAGAGTGAGTGCTACAGCTAGTCCGCAGTCTGTTCAGCCATGTGGGAATAGACGTAACTGCTCATTTATTCATCACACACATCGAACTGTTCGGATGAAGATTTTCTATAAGATCGTAACTCATGGACTCTGACTCCGACTGCCCTTTCAACTACTCCTGGCCTTCTTTTCCCAAGATGAGGATGCGCCGGAAGATGGGGAAAAAAGGTAACGCAGCATTAAAAACCATATTTAAAAGTAGTTTTGCTATTCTGTCGCTTTGACAGGTATAGTTCTGCGAGTGTCCACAAATCTTAATTCACTTTTCACTTCACTGTCATTGACGTCCTTAAAACACATTTCTGACATGTTGATGTCTGCAGTGTTTGACAGACACAAAAAAGATTTGGAAAAACATGTGGAATCGTTTTAAAGTGAAAAATGTTAACTTTTTAAACACAGATTAGGCAGCTCTTCTGGCAAACTCAGGACTTAACTTCTAAATGCCCTGTTGGCAGGCATGTTTCACCATTCACTGTGGAACAATAAAGTTAAAATTAGACTTTTCCCATTACACACTCTTACTCACAGACATCCACTGCAGTACCGAGTCTGTCAGAGAGAGCTAACTGCATGTTTACCAGTGATGTAACCTGATACCTGACAGTATGTTGGGGAATGTCAGATGTCCACTCGAGGCTGATTGAGTGGTTTGGGGCTTTCGCCATCTTCAAACTGTTGTGTGCATCTAAACCCTGCTGAGAAGTCGTGGCCTCATGTGACTGCTAGGTTGCAGTGCAAATGGGAGGCCCACTGTTTAATATGTGCGGTCATATCCCTAGCCTCAGGGAACTGCACTTGATAGCTCTAATTGGTTGTTTAGGTGTCAGTGAAAGAGTGACTGTGATTGAATTGAGTATTGGTTTATTATCAGGCACGGAACCAAAATCTGGTTAATACTTCATCCTGGCATAAAAATTTGTTATTTCATTGTTAGTCATGGGAGAGTTAAATTAAATGCTAAAAATAGTGCATGATTAAACCAGAGTGGTTAAACAGTTCGTTGCTTATGTACAAGTGATTCTGTGTTTGTTGGGAGAAGCGAGAAAGAGAGAGGGAGTTAGGATCAGAGAGACAGACACGGGGAAAGATTATGTTACTGCCACGGCTGTGTCATGGCTCAGCTCCAGTTGTCTTTTCCTCATCTTTCACCATAAACCTCTGCAAGATTATCTATGTTATTGCTTTGTAATTGTGATTGACACAGGCTAGCTTTATACACACTGCTGGCCCATGCTCTCTCAATGAGGAACAGAAACGGTGGCACTGCATCAACTTTTTGAACTGAACTGCTTCTATTCGATTTCGACTTTCTTTTTTTTCTGGTCTAACAGTACACCTGCAAAGTGAAATGTGATTTCAGGTGCGCACAGACAGACGTTTATTTCTTTGCTCTGAGAGTTGCACGGCTCGTTCTGGCTTCACCTTTTCCTGTAAATACAATGGGCCTGTGATGCTTGGATTGGGATGTTTGACCACAGGTGTCATAACTCAGAGTGGTTTTGTGGATGTTGGTGGACAATTGTTCTAATGATTTAAAAGTCCCGAACACTAAAGTTAAATAAATGCCTCCCCTATTTTTATAAGGTAATAAGACCTCCTGTTGTGATTCTTTGAGACTTGGCTTGTTATTTTACTTTCAGCTCTCATCAAAGTGACAGCTGTTTAGTGTGGTCCTTGTAAAGCAAGTTACATCATAAAAGAAGGAACAGCATGAACAAATAATCCATTTATAATTATAATAAGCAAGCCTAGGTGTTTATACGATTAATCATTGTTATTGTATGTTTATCTTGAATTTTATGTTTTGCCCTACAGCTTCTAAAAGGAGTGAACCTTGAGAAAGAAGCCTTGTGGCTGCGCTGCCTCCCCCTCCTCTTCATCCTGCCTACCTCGGTCTCCCTCTCCCAGGGGTGTGCATGGGTTGAAGGGTCACTCTCTGTGTTTAACTGCCCTGGTCTGGAAACCTGGCACTGACTGCTGTCTTTGTCTGTTTTGCTATAGAGTCTCTCTCGGTCTCTGTTTTTCTCGCTGCTGCTACTTTAGGCATTGCTACTGTATACGGTTGCTTCTCACTAAGGGACATGCTCTGAATATCACATCACTTCAGCTTTACTTTTAGCGAGCAGAAATCCTACATAAATAGATCCGCATACTGCTCTGCTTTTCTTTAAAAAAAAAACATCCCCTTTCAAGTCACAGCTGATTGACTGCTTACTCTGCCTCGGGAATAAAGACAGCTTTTCCAGCAGGACGAATTACTTTTTGCTGTTGTAACTTGTTGGCAATATGAACACCCTGCTTCTGTTATTCCCCCAGTTAACTAATGTTAAACACAGATCACACTGCCCGACAGTAATGTTCACTGAGCCAGAATTTATGGGTCAGAGGTGTGTGAATGATTGAGGCCACAGCAGCCAGCTGTGGCTTTGGACCCTGCCCAGAGCCTGAACTATTAGGTCTGTCTGTCAAGTCCCTAAAGTAGGTTTATATGAAATGATATCTGCTTTCAAACAGCAGTTTGACCCACATCCAGAATCTAACCCCATTCTGTGGATTTGATGTTGGACTAAAACGAATCCTTTTCTACATAGCAGAAAGTTTTATGTGACTTTGCGCAGGTACAGTGGATTTGGTTTGAGGTTCATATACAGTATAATCTCCTCAGGTGAAACTAAGAGAATCCAGACGTTTTTAACAATGGAGAATCAGGTTGTAAAAATGTAAGAATTTCGCTGAGAGATATAAAAACTTTGGCTGTCCTGGAGTGATGTGCAGTCGTCTCTGTATATGCTGCAGTACTTAAACTTGGGTTAATTTGTTTATGTTTAACATGGATGTAATGGGAATCATCTGGTGTCCTCATCAGTGTTAGCTCAGCTCCCTCTTGCCTCTCATATTTATCTAACTTGCAGCATATAGGAAGCACAGCCAGTTTCTTCTTTGATTTATTCACTGTTACAGTTGCTGAATGCCTTTTTTATTATTATTCTGCAGTGCTGGCAGCTTGGACACAATGGATAAACTATTGATTTACTTTAAAAGAAGAATGTTGAGTCTTGCTTTAATAACTGCTTGATGAGCTGAGATTTAAAACAGCAGTGCCAAAGACACTGTTGGAGGCAAAGCTCGGTCACGGCAAGGTGAGAATGTCATTATTAGCTTAATAATGTAACTGTGCTAATGAGACCTCCTCTTCTGGTTACTACGACCAGAAATGCACCAGCTGCTGGTGTGATTAGATTTTTCTGTTGACTCTTCAGCTTAATGTAAATTCCTCTACAAGTTTTCTTTCTTCAGACTGATGACTTTTTTTCTTTTGTTAACAAGTAATGTAATGTAATGGTGGTAGTTTCGCAGTTCAAGTAATCATAAATTGACTTACTTTGGCGATTAACCAATCATTTTACTGTACGTCCCATTTTCACTTTGATGCTTTGAAATCAAAAAAGGCAATCGCTGAAACATTTGTGCTCTTTTTGTCCTGTTCCTGCTACTTGTGCACATGTGTAGTTCACCTAGCGAGATGGCATAGAACAGAGAAACCTTCACTTTGAGGAAGTTAACAGAATGTAAAACAATAATCTTGTAGCTTGTTAAGCATTTTACTTTTAAAAGTAATATTACCTAACACTGGCAGAAACACACATTTTGCTGATGGTTATCTAGTAGCAGTAAAAAAAACTATATTAAAAAAAGTAAAGTCAGTGTACCTGGTTAGTGTTTAATAGAGATTTTTTATGAGCAGTCAGAATTCGCAAGTAAGTTTGAAAATAATTGTTACTGTGGTTATTTTTCACATTAAAAGCAGCAGCTGACTATTCAGTCTCACCTGATTTCTAGCTGTTTTATAGCTTTTGAGCATTTTTATCTGATGCTAACCATTTTATATATTTTTTTTTGTGTGTAAAAAATTATGATTTTATGACCTATGTGTTTATTTTGCTGCCACTATCATTTTAAGTTGCATTTTAATAGTACTCTATAAATTATGACTATTTTGTTGTTGTTGTTGTTATTAGTAAAAAACTAGTTTGTATAGAGCATTTAAACTTTCTTAAAAGATAATGTGCCCATTAGTGTCTTACCAAAGGTTTATTGTTATGTGTAGTATTAATGGTAACTTTTACCTTCTTTGTTTATGTGAATCGGTTATTTTCAAACCTGAAATACTTCATAAGAAACTGAGTTGTGGAGAGTGTGTGTGCTTTATACAGAGCAACATCCCAGAGGGAGCTTTGTGTGTTTTGAGAGCAGGAGTGTTTTTCCCCGTTTAACAGTAAAACCAGGCTGCTGCTCACAGTGGCTCTTCTGTGTTGAAAGGATTCCTCTCAATGCTACTGTGTGCTCACCAGGAGTTATTTCCACTCACCCACTGCATCGAAGGCAGGGTGGAGAAGAAACAAGCCTGCAGATGTGTACTCTCGACTCCGTGCACGCCCTTTCACGCGTGTGTGCAAAGAGCCATTCAGATAGAGGCACACACACATACATGCACACACTCATACACACACAAACGCATACAGAGACTCTTAGTCCTGAACAATGACAAGCAACTGCCCAGGATGTCTATGTCACTTCCCGTGTTTGTGAGAAGTTATTTGGTGTTGCTGTGGAAACTAAATGTAATATTGAAAAATCCCGGCTCTCTGTGCATTCTTCTCTCTCTGTAGAGAAAAGCCAGTCCATAAGGGAGAGCCAGGCCTCGTCTCCAACACTGGCTGCAGCTGCCAGACTGTCAGCGATGATACACGGCAAAGACCAAGTGTATGCCAACGCCATGCTGGTGGATCAGGTGAGTTGCTCAAGTTTTTCTATACAGTGTCATTAGGTAAAATGCAGTTTACGACAGGGATATAATTTAGAACAGCGCATGAACAACAGACTTTGCTCATAAGATGTGAATCGTTTCACTGGATGAGCTGCAAATCATCTGGCGGAACAGTTTGGGGTCTCATTGCATTCTCACTTTTCTTTTCCAGGTGGACGATGCTGACATTAAATACCGCTCTCCAGGGGAAGAGGAGGTCAGCCCTGCATCTCATGCTGACAGCTCCAGCTGGGATTCGTTCTCTGTGACTCCCCCTAATTCAGGGAACTGCTCCCAGAGCCGGTGCCTATCGTCACCCCACAACAGGCTGAGGGGAATCCAAGGTTCTGGCCTGGAGAACCACAGAGAGCAGTCCCCTCTTGTCTCCCCCCCCTGTCCTTTCGCTTCCTCCCCATCTTTCCCTTCCTCGCCCCTGGCTTCCGCCCTCCGTTTGTTTGAGGAAGCACACAAGCGTCAGCCGCAGACAGGCTTGCCACGCTCTCCTTCTTTGAGTCGTAGAGGATGCAGCTTCACAGAGGCAAGCCGAGGCCTGAGGTAGGACACAATTGCAGTTATTCTTGAAAAGGTTTAGACTATTTCTTCTATTGAGATTATGTTAAAGATCACTCTGACCCACTTCAGAATCAGAATCAGATCAGAATCAGAATCAGAAAGGGTTTTATTGCCAAATGTTGGGCAGGTTTACAACATTAGGAAATTGCTGCAGTGCTTCAGTGCAGACATACTGTCATAAATTACGCTAAAATAGACATGAAAATAAAAATAAGAATAAGAATTAAAAGTGCTAAGTAGATAGATATA